CATCACACAACCTCAGCCAGCCAGCTATAACCCCAACATGCCTCCCCAACTCCAATCCCCTTCCAAACCCAACAACATCCACACCCCATCACGGACCCCCCAAACCACCTCCACCCTGCCCAACAAGATCCAAAAACCTACCCGCCGCGCCCGAAAACACCAACCAGCCCCCACCTCGGCGCGATGCTGGGACTGGCTCCTCCTCCCGGCCAGCAGCAACACGCATTTCGCCAAGAACCGCGCCTCGTTCGAGACGTACCGGCGGGCGCCGTGCAAGATCGCCAACCAGCGGGTGCTGGGCGTGGGGACGGTGCAGCTGCGGGTGCGGCGGGCGCCCAACGACCCGCGCACGACGACGCTCGTGCTGCGCGACGTGCTGCACATGCCGCACGCCCGGTGCAATGGGATCAGCGTGGCGAAGTTTACGGGGGATTTTTGCGATCATGATTGCGGTGTTGGTAGTGGTGGTAATGGGGGCTGGCGGAGGGGGAGTGGGAGGGGCAGTGTGGGAGGGCAGAGTGAGAGTGAGGAGGGGGAATGGGCAGGGGAGATCGAGGGCCCCCTGCCAGTGGTGGTCGGCGTGGAAGGGGAAGGCGAGGCGGAGCATTTGCAGGTGCGGCGCGCGAGCACCACCAGTACGATTAGCAGCTGCGGTGGTGGGGAGGAGGATCGAGGGGAGGGGTTGTGGTTTGCGGAAGGGAGACCTGAGAGGGGGTGCTCGAGGGTCGTGTTGGCCGGGGAGCATCATCATCATCATCATCAGTCGCTTGATGTTGGGGAATTGGCAAATGAGCAAATGCTGAAAGGACTCGTCGTCTCCAAGGAGGAGTTGGAGCTCTTGAATGAAAGGATCAGGAATCGGTCTTGGGTCTGAACATTCGGAAAAAGATTAAATAATTTCATTCGTATTTCTCATGGGATACTGTTTGGCGTCTGGCCTGTTTGTTATTGTACAGAAGTTTGGATCATAATTGCAACCACTTTTGAAGCAAAGTGACCATTTGTGCGCTCATGACACCAGTGGGGATTGTTCAGCCGGCTGATCAATGCCACTACATACCGGAGCGTCTTCGAGGCTAGACTTGTGACCGTGACCTGGGCCAGTCGATCCAAGCACGCATAGAATGAACGTCAATAACCCTTGCCAGTGGCCACTTGACGCTTCAATCTACGTCCATTAACACATCGCTCATGATGTGAAGCACATAAGAAAATTTGCGCACGCTCCATTTGCCAGCGTCTCTCAACAACCCGGCATAGTCCAGCAGAACGCGTCGTGCGGACTGATATCCGCCTTGAATGGGCATCCCTCGGAGGTACACCGTCCCCCCGTTGCGGATGAAGTTCACAGCCGGCTCATCGGACAGCGAAAAAGGTTGACTGCCGTGCGGGACCATGTAATTGGTAAGTCCCTCAGTACCCACCTTCTGCCAGTCGATGTCATCGAAAAGCTCGATCGCAGTGCCCCCTCCCTGCGGATCAGCGACATTCGGCACCATGAAAACATAGAGTCCCAGGACTAGCGCCGCGGAGAAGAGAGAAAAGACTGAGTGGAACATCATATGGTCGGAAGTCTTGCGGTTCGTCAACACCCTATAGATATGAGCCGCATGTAGACAGGCTCGTCTGGCAGCCGGTGTCTGCGACCACGCGGCAATGTCAGCCAAAGCTTTCCGGCCAGGAGCTGGACCTGATCGTCCTGCCGCTAGATCAAAGATCTGGGTGTCTGCCGACAGCGTCAAGCACATATTGTGCCACGTCACAGCCGCATTGGGATTCAATCGAGCAAGTAAGTCTCCATACTTGTCGGCGATCTGCAGCTGGAGGGGCGCGAGACACCTGGCACGAGGATCCATACTGTAAGTGTGGCACGGCGCGAAGGGGAACTGTGGTCTGTTCGAGAGAAGACGGTAGTAGGCTTCAGAGAGCCGCAACTGCACCAGTGATAGCACCGCGTGCATACAAAAGTCGTCGACCGGGCTCTCCAGTTCGGGAAGGCCCACGCTTTCTGACGGTGCCACAATCGTAGGCATTAGCATGCCTTTCCCGCTACATATCAACTGCATCCATCGCATGGCCGTGATGGCTCGGAAAAGTGCGTCGTCACATGGCAGTATTAACTGGACTGAATCGGGCACGACAATGGGACTCGTGGACATAAATGAAGAATACCAAGAGTCCAATAGCAGCAGACCGGTAATTAATCTAAACAATTAGCCGAGTCCACAAAAGAATGGTGCGATGTACCGACCTTTTCACAGACTCTACCTTGCTCCAGGCTTTCCACCTCGTCTCAACATCAGTAAAGGTGTCGAAAAGGTTCATGTCAAGCACTTGTCCTTCTGTGGCGGCGAAAAGACCATGCCGTTGCGCGATCTGCAAGGATATTAGCGCCGGGCTGCCAACATTTATCATGTCTTCCGGTACTTACCGATATGAGATTGACATAGAGCATCTGACATTTTTCGAGATGTTCCTTCTCCTGCGCACTGTCAGCAAGTCCTAGATACTTATTGGAAATGACATACCCCAGTCATAGCAGCCAGGTTGAGAAACAGAAAGCAGGCAGCAAAGGTAGAGACGGTGCACACCGAGTTCTCCACGCCCACCGAACACTTAGCGAGATCGGCCGTGAGGCGCTCAAGCATCAACTGTTGGGTTCGTCCATCAGCAAAGCACCAAGCGTGTGAAGTCCTGCTCACTCACCGAGAAGTTCCTGCAAACGAAATCCATTGTTCCTCTAGTCCCCAGTAAGACCATCCCAATGAGACACATAGCATACAGTACCGCAGGCTGCGTATCGCTTGCAGAAAAGGTAGGAACATGGATGAAAGGCACCAGTGGGTGGAATTCGCGGAAGTAAAGATCGAGCGCCATATCGAGTACCTCGGCTGGGGGAAAGTTGTGGTTCTTTGGAATGGAGCCCGAAGCCAAGGAAGGAAGCGTGTTGGTCCCAGGCAGCGCATGTAGCTGCGACTGTTCGGTCTGTCCAAAAGCAAGATAGAGGCGTTGCCTACACGCTTCGTCAAGCCCATACCTCGATCCCTGTGGTCCGACTGGGCCATCTGACGGGGGTGTTGCCGACAGGGTGAATATGTTGTTCATGTCACTGCTGGCTACATCTCGCCACAGACCGTTCATCAGGCGACCGGTGTTATTTGCTGGAGCGAGCCAATAGCGCTGTACGCGAGAGAATCGCTCATTCGGGATCAGGTTCCCCGATTTTGAGGTCTCACCATCGGTTGAGAATTTCTGTTGGTGCTGCTGAGGTGTTGACACGGAATCTCCACCTGGCAGGCTGCCAATTGGCTCTCCCATCATGTCCAGGGAACCATTGTGCGAAATCGAGTCTCCACGGGGCTCCAGCCAGAACTGCAGCAAGTCATTCTGCATTGGATCGAGTATGGTTCCTCTGAAGTATTGTTGGTCCGGGCCGGAGATGTGGTTCCATCCGAAGTATTGATGTTGTTGCTCATCAGGCATCATTTGATTGACCTCTGGTTCCGTGCGAGGTTGGTGGGTGGATACATTGGCCAAAAAGTCCAAAGACGATGATGGGATCCCCGGCGTTGCGGACAGCGACGTGCCTCGGTGCGACGGGAGAATCTGCATCTGTTGGAGATCGTTGGGGCTCATTCCCTGCATGCCCTGCTGGCTCGCATGCGAGATAACCGGTGTTCGATCATTATGCGGTATAGTGGCCGGCGAGGCAGCCTGAAGACTCTTTGGTTCGCTTGTCTCCTCCTTGCGGGGGTTCTTGTGGCCTTTCGCATGGCGACTCAGGACGTCACTGCAAGAGAGCCCCGGGGGGTCAGTGATCAGACCGCGCGCAACAATTTGGGGCACCAGACTCACCTCCGTGAGAACCGCTTCAAACAAACACTGCACTGGTAGGGCTTCTCTTTCGTGTCTAGTATATATGAGCATCAGTGTGAATTTAGCCCCACGGGGAGATTGCCATACGCGACCGTTCATGGCGCTTGAAATGCTCTGTTTTCTTGAATTGCCGATCGCAGATAGTACACTGCTTCATGACCATGATTCTGCTCGTCGGGGAGCCACTGAGGTGGGTATGTCAAAGAGACAGTCACACAGAAGAATGCATTGAGGTTGCACCATGCGGAAGGAGTATAGGTCGAGATCCAAGGGGGGGGAAAGATTCTTGCAACCAAAGTGTGAGGGGAAGAGGAAGATTGTCTGAAGAGCTTCGAAGATTAAGCCGTCGGGAAATGGGACAGGTTATCTCCGATCTGGTCAAGCGTGGTTTCCAGCTGAGTTTCTCGCCGATCCTAAAAACAGTGGGGCGAAACGAGTTCCGGAGTGAGTGAATTGTAGGTGTGCAATGGATATTGAGTACCTTAGTTAGAATCGCGATCCTATGGGATGGGGTAACAAGGGAAATGCCATCGTCATGACTTGAATTCATCAAATTGCGATTTTGGATTAAATTAAGCTCCCAAAGAGCCGGGCTCAGCTGGGCTGCAAAGAGTGGCCTCCCCATGGGGTTTAGTGCATGCGCCACCGTCCGCTAATTTACCTTATTATGTTCAAAGTAACCTCTAAACAGTCGATTAATGCATGTTCATTGGGCAGTATGCGATACGCATGTAGTTCAAAAGGCCATGGTTTGGTTTGGTAGCAGTCTTCGAGCCTTGAAGTTGATGCTGGTAGAACAATCATCACCAGCTCAACGAGCGTAATACTTGAGGTCGAGGGAGGAAGGGAAGAAAGCAATTATTCTATGTACATTATCAAGTATGAAGCATGCGGGGTAGCCCTCTGTACTTATGCTTACCAGTTGTCTGGCCTGTCATGGTCTGCGTCCGTGCAGAGTGACTACCTTAGCGTGGGGCCATGTGGGAGAGGGTGGATGGTGGATGGTGGATGGTGGATGGTGCCAGGATGGTGGACGCTCCCGGAAATCCCTCACTTCTTATCAACACCGCCAAGGAAAGCACTCCTTCCAGTCCCCTCCATATACATTCAGGAAACAGCATATCTCAATCGACAGCCAAGACATCATCCACCATCCGCATCGATGCACCGAGGTAGTTTACCGGGTCACAGAGCTGGCTCACGCGTTCCTCTGTCAGCTTCGAGGTCACCTCCGGCTTCTGCGTCAAGCATTGGAACAATGTCTGCTGCGACTCGATGCTCTCCCGACATGCCTCGTAGACAATATCGTGTGCTTTCTGGCGACCCACATGCGGTGCCAGACCCATCATCACTGCCTCCGCCACGATCAACCCTTTGGTCGAGTGCAGATTGGCTATCATCTGCTTGCTGTGCACACATAAGCCGGACAGCGCGAATTGCGTCTGCGACAGCGCCCCGACGGTGATCACAAAGCTTTCAGGCACTGCTACCCACTCTAAATGCCAGGGACCGGATGCGCGCTCGAAGTCCGCCACCATGCCATCGAGAACCAGGCCTGCGTTCGACCGCAAGATCTTGGATGCAGCAAGGATCACCTCACTCGAGATGGGATTGCGTTTCTGTGGCATGGTGGAGGAGGCGCCACGGTGGGGCACAAACGGCTCGGACACCTCCCCCAGCTCATTCGACGACATCATGATAATATCCAGGGCCACCTTGCCCATCGACCCTCCCATCAGCGCCAGGAAGTTCACAATTTCCGCCACGCCGTCTCGCGCGACATGCCAAGTGATAGACGGGTTCTCCAGTCCCAGCTCTTCCGCCAGGGCTCTGCGTACGCGGAGCCCGTCGTCCCCGGGGCCCAGCGACGCCAAAGACCCTGCTGCTTCGCCGAACTGAGCCAGTAAGCACCGACGCTTCAGCTGCTCTAAGCGCTCAGCATGGCGCTGGAAACCAGACAGCCAGACTGCGCACTTGTAGCCGAAGGTGACGGGCAGGGCGTGCTGCAGATGGGTGCGGCCTGCCATGGGCGTGTCACGGTATTTACGGACAGGCCGCGTAGAGTACGGATGACTTCTTTGAGAAGTCGCTCGACAATATTCAGGCCCTCTTTCATCTGTAGGACACTGGCAAGATCCATGATATCCTGCGTCGTGGCCCCCCAGTGAACGTACTTGCCAGCCTCCTCGCCACATATCGTCGACAGTTGACGAACAAGCGGCAGAATCGGGTATCCTACAACCTCAGTTTCCTGTCGCAGACGGTCCATGTCCAATTGCGATTCACGTATCTTCTGCGTCACCAGGTCTCCGATCCGTGGGGGAATCACGTCGCATCGTGACTGGGCTCTGGCGAGCGCGGCCTCGGCGTCGATGCATCGCTGGATGTATGCCTCGTCGTCGAACACTTTCCGGATCTCCTCTGTTCCGAATAAGGTGCGAAAGGTGCCCGAGTCGATTGCACTGACAGAGCCGATTGTTCTGCGAGATGTGACCTGCTGGACTCGCGGTAGAGGCAGACGAGCTATCTGAGCAAGTGAGCGTGATGCTAACATTGTTGCTGCTACTTTGGCGAAATAGGCAGAGATTACTAGCAAACGTGTATTGGTGAACAACCAGGATAGTCTAGAGTTTTGACGCTTAGTTGCTGACAATTGGAATGTGTCCCGACTCGTGAGAGTCCCTGGGACATCATTCCATTGCGGGGATGCGGAGAAAGAACAGCAAGTTACCCTGGTGACCCAGCGACTTGTCGTCATTGTGTGGGGCTGGACAGCTTGCACTTGGAGGTGTATCGGTTATAAGTTCAACCGACCTATTTCTAGTAGTAATCTGCGCCTAAAGATCCTGTACAAACAGACTTGTAGATAAGGAGCCTCAGCGATAAACTTATAAAACTTATATCCGATAGACTTCCTTTGCAGCTGATTGTTTTGATTATTCCTGAAACAGAAACAGCCTAGCTCAATGAAATACCATTATATCGACCCAAGAGCACGACATAGATTAGGGTCACGATAAGAGATGCTCAAAATCAGACTTGCAGCTAGCCCACTCAATTGTCATCCTGACCACATTGTGGTTGGTCCCTCAAAGACGAGCTCAATCTTCCCACAGATCCTCAATCGATGTATCCTGAAATCCGGGCAGAACCAGCCAGAATCTGTCTCCAAAGTTGGTATCCGGCAATATGGTGAGAAGGGTCCTCTCGCGGGTGTCGGTAAGTTCTTGGATGTTCTTGTACTGGTCCGTCTGCTTCTGCTGGATCCATTTATAGAGGTTCTGGAGACTGAAGCCGTCACTGGCGTTGTAGTTCCACCATTCCATGGTCTCGACCTGGACAGATTTGATGCTTGCATTGTCTGTCTTGGTGTATTTGTGCAGCCCCCAGTAGAATCTCTTCGCATCGTCCCGGGTGGCGGCGGTCAACAGCCAGCGATGCCATTCGCCGGGGTAATTACCATTGTGACGGTTTGAAATGTGGACGTAAAGGGCATTCTGTCGGGTGCGCGAGTGTGTTTGTCCGCGATAAGTGGGCTGTGGACTTGAGTCTTCTGGTGGGTGAGCCTCGCTTGTGACTTATGAGTCGAAACGAGTTGGGTGATTGTCTTGCCGGACTATGCGTAAGCTGGCACCTTGATAGGTAGTTCAGTTGATATATGTGAGATGATGGCATGTGAATCTCATCAATTCCGAGCCATGTATGGTTTTCATCGTTTTCACGTCATAATGGCTCGCAAGATGACACTGGCGGTGTAGTTTCCGTGGGTATTGACGACCACAGAACAACTTCCGCTCGCTCACAAGGATCTTGTTAGTAGAGAATGGATGCTGCTGGGGAGTTTAACGCAGTTGAGAGTTTCCATTGCTGAGCCAATTCGTGCTGAAAAACAGATTATGCTCATGCTCAGGCACAGACTACTGAGATGTGGGGAACTTTAGACGGGAAGGCACTAGGTTAGGCAAACCGAGACCGAGGATTGAAATCTACTTTGGCCTCGACCAATGGAAGGAGAGGAAAAATGATGCTAATGCACATCGGCAGTTCCATTACCATCTTGATAAGATATTGCCGCAATCACGGCACGATTGTAGAGCAGCGCAACTGAAGATTTGTCTTTCAGGTATCACCAGTCATAAGTCCCTGATCATTATTGCTGAGACGGTAAGATGAGACTCAATGGGCAGGAATACCCCAGGATTCGGCAGATCCACCCCACAGTCTGTCTGTTCGTCGGATTCCATCGGCAATGAATTCCTTGAGATCCCGTGAGCAGGTGCGATTTCACCCGATCTCGCAGTTGGCCAACTGCCATCGCCTCCAGAGGCTTGCCGATGCCCTTCCCGCTTTCGGAATCGTAAAATACGCGGTAATCATAACGGGGTTCGTCCAGTGAGCATGCCCAGGGACTTCTGGTGTAGCAAACCCCGAGAAAACCATGAATCTCACCTCGAGTGACTCCGGTTGATCTTGAAAATGTTCTAGCCTCGGTGACTCTTCATCGAAATGGCGAATACCTTATTCGAGCCCGATCGGAGTCGCGTGAGCCCTGTGCGCGATCCCCCGTCCACCCCCGCAGGGTTGAACGTTTCTCCCCCATGGGCGGGCAAGACGTACAAAACAATACGAGCCAGCAGTCACGGGCGCAGTGGGGTCGGCTTCGGAAGGCGGCAAAGCGAAGTTGGAGTTTCGGCGGATAATCGCTTTTGTCGGCTGCGTGGCGGTGGTCACTAGCCGAAACGGAGACGAGCTATGCAGCTAATGGTTACCCAAAGGACAAGACCCGGGGATTCTTCGACTAGTACTTCTACACCCCCAATTCCTCTCCTTCATTTTTTTTTACTCTCTTTCTTTTCTTCCTTCCCCAGTTTTGTACTCAATTCACATTTGGCCAGGCTGATCGACAATCATGTCGCGGCCTTTCCCTGCGGTCCCCGCCGTGTTCCGCCCCGTATGGCGGCGGAACTTCTCCGCGTCTACCTCGCAAAGAGCTATTAACAAGATCTGCCCGTCGGCTCAGGAAGCCATCAAGGAAATGAAGGGGGCCTCCACGGTTCTGGTCGGAGGTTTCGGTTTCTCGGGTGTCCCCAACACATTGATCGATGCTGTGCGCGATCGCCCGGATATCAAGGATTTGACTGTCGTCTCTAACAATGCTGGCATGCCTGGTCGTGGTCTTGGTAGGTCCAATTGCACCGGAGACATAGCGGAGGACTTCATTCTGACTGTGAGCAGGTCAACTGCTTGAGTCCAAGCAGATCACCAAGATGATTGCGTCTTTCATCGGTGAAAACAAGGTCTTCGAGAAGATGTACTTGAACGGTGATCTCGAATTGGAATTGACTCCCCAGGGCACCATCGCTGAGAAGTGCGCTGCTGGTGCTTCTGGTGTCCCTGCTTTCTATACCCCCGCTGCTTATGGAACTATCGGTATGTTTGCGCATGACTGCCGACCAGCCCGAAGTGACTCCAGCTAACCAGGGACATAGTACAAACTGGTGAACTCCCCGTCCGCTACAACAAGGATGGCACCGTGGCCCTCACGTCCAAGCCCAAGGAAACCCGCGAATTCAACGGCAAGCAATACCTCCTGGAAGAATCGATTTTCGGCGACTACGCCCTGGTCAAGGTCCACAAGGCCGACAAGCTGGGTAACTGCCAGTTCCGCAAGGCTATGAACAACTTCAACGAGGCCATGGCCAAGAACGCCAAGTACACCATCGTCGAGGCCGATGAGATCGTCGAGGTTGGCGAGATCGCTCCCGAGAACATCCACATCCAGAGCATCTACGTCAACAAGGTCATCAAGAGCACCGGCGAGAAGCAGATCGAGAAGCTCACCTTCGCCAAGGACCCCAGCGAGTTGCTGCAGGCCGGTGACAGCGCCGCCACCGCCCGCCGCGAGCGCATCGTCAAGCGTGCCGCCAAGGAGTTCCGCGATGGCATGTACGTCAACCTCGGTATCGGAATGCCCCTGATTGCTCCCGCCTACCTCCCCGAGGGTGTGGAGGTTGTCCTCCAGGCCGAGAACGGTATCCTGGGTCTGGGTGGCTACCCCCAGCCCGGCCAGGAGGACCCCGACTTGATCAACCCTGGCAAGGAGACTGTCACTTTGGACAACGGTGCTTCTCTCTTCGGTTCCCACGAGAGTTTCGGAATGATTCGCGCTGGTCGCATTGACTTGACTATGCTCGGTGCTCTGCAGGTCAGCCAGTACGGAGGTGAGTATCCCGGTACCCGTGTCTACGTCGATCGCAATTGCTGATTCGGTTTCTCCAGATTTGGCCAACTTCATGCTTCCCGGTAAGGTCAAGGGTGTCGGTGGTGCCATGGACCTGGTCGCCAACCCTGAGAAGACCAAGGTTGTTGTTACTATGGTAAGCACTCCCCGCCCAAACCCTTTTCAATCTCCAATGCAGTTCACTAATACGACTCGAAAAACAGGAACACACCGACAAGAAGGGTAACCCCAAGATCTTGTCCGAGTGCACTTTCCCCCTCACCGGCCCCCGCTGCGTGTGGAAGATCATCACCGATCTGGCCGTCTTCGAGGTCAGCCCCACCGAGGGTCTGACCCTGGTCGAGCACGCCGAGGGCGTGACTGTCGAGGAGATCCGCAGCAAGACTGCTGCTCCTTTCAAGGTCGCCGAGGACCTCAAGCCCATGCTGTAAAAACTTTTAGAGGACCTAGTACTTCTTGATAGATATTTGTGTATATAATGTGAGAATGACCTATTGAACTACCATCGGAATTAGACAAATAAATTTAGATCTATCCACCATTCCACCCACTCAACTCTACACATACAATACCATATCTACCATGTCTTAGACAATACTTCATCACAGCAACAATAGCAACTTGAAAAGAAATGACGAATCCATCCCCAACATGTAATAGAACGCAAGCTACTTCACCCCCAAACACCACATCACCTTAGAGCCAGCCCCTTCAAGCACACAAAAAAAAAGGGTTCAATGCCCCGTCATCCCGTAACAATCCGCATAAAAACGCAGCTCCGGATCCATCACCAGCTGATGAGTGATATGTTTCGCCGTAAGACGTCTCGGTGCGTCGAACGCCAGCCCCCCAGTCTCTTTATCGTGTTCCTCCTGCGACTTCCACGCCTCCTCGTCGTCGTCGATCAGGGCGTCGTCACGGCGCACGAACCCGTCGACCTTCTTGGGGTGCAGCCGGGGCGAGTTGATTGGTTTAGGGGGCATGTTTCTTTTCCTTCTTCAAATAGCTGAGTAGTCTTTTGAGTTTTGAGTTTTGTGTGTTTGTGTGTGTGTGTGTGTGTGTGTGTGTGTGTGTGTGTGTGTGTGTGTGTGTGTGTGTGTGTGTGTGTGTGTGTGCTCGGTAATGAACTAAGGAGATGTGAGATTGGGGTTTCTGAGATAGTAGATTTTTCTTCGGGATGGGAGATCGTTTCTTGGGGGGGATTGTACAGTACTGGGATGGGGGCTTATATGCTGCCATTTTCCCCCTCTCCGCCAGGGGAGGGGGCCCCCGGGAGGGAAGGCTAGGGGATGAGATCATGCTACTTTCATAGTATAGTATCTGTGCCTTGCTCCGCTCGATGGCGAGTTATTCCCCGTACTTCTGAGTTGATGGAGCTATCTATGGAACACTCGTAGATAACTGGGTCGAAAAGATAAGAATATTGTATCATGCCAGATGGCAATGGAAGGCTTTGTTCAAGGTTGCATGGTTGTTGTGTTTTAGAGGGCATGGCGTCATGGCGATGTAAGGACGTATTAGTGGTTCGAGGATACTCGTCAGCCCTTGATAGCGGAGGTACTCTGGTGAAGTCGAATGTGACGCAAAAGTCTCGGCGTAATGAAGTTCTTTGCAGGGCATGATATTTCCTGGCTGGGTTTTGTGAAGAAACGCTATGCGACTATTTGAAGCGGGTATACGATGCCCCTCCCTTCTCTTGAGTCAGCCACGCCAAACTAACTAGTATTAGTTACTGACTCAGATGCATTCAGTTAGCAGTCTAATCAACAGATATTAGTCTAGCCTTGAGATTGGAAAGTATCGCTACTGGTCCAGGATCCTTGCATCACTTGATCATGTCATCTGTCATCCCCGCATGTGGGGTTCCTCGTGGGGCCCGTGCGGTTGGCCTACAACGAGTACTTTTGAGGTCTACGGGGTATCTTGTCTTCTACTGGCACCCGCCAATGGCTTTGTCAGACTGAACTAAGAGAGTATAACTACTGTCAGTTTTGTTTTTACTTACTTATCAAAGAAGAATAGCTATATCATGGGGACTGAGAGTATCAATTCACATGCGAGAACGCTTTCAAGATTCACATTGCGCCGTTAACAGCATCAGTCCTTCGATCCCATGGCCAACATACAACAATCTGAAAATATTTCCATCTAGGTATATATATGTGTGTAATATGCTCCTGCCCGTCACTACCAAAGATATTGCTGCTGAAAACTCACAGAAGGTGCGCCCCTCCATAAACTCGGTGCTTGCGGTGTGCTCAGCCCGTGCCCTCGCAAGTGGTCCGACTGAGAACAACTGATACGGGGGAGCTGTATGGCGGGAAACATCGGGCCAGAATGCGGCTCGGCCTCCCTCTCTCGGTACGCCTCGGGGTGATTCTCGAGGCTACTAATCGGTTCTTTCACCGGTTCGCTTCCTTCGTCCAGTCTCGCATATACGTTGGCTCGGTATGGGGTTAGCGGCGGAAGCTCGGATCTGGAGGCAGCCGCTGGTCGGTAGTCGCTAGGTTCGTGTGAATTCTCCCTCAAAGGTTCACTATCCCTGGAATTGAGGATGTCGGAGACGCTCGTGACCGCCCTGTCCGCCGAGTTTCGTCCTGAGCCCGGTCGTTGGTCTTGATTCTGGCAGTCCTGCTGCCACGCTCTGACATCCTGTACGCTGTTGAGAGGAAACTGTTTCCAGTACTCCGTTCCTCGTTTCCCCGATCGCGAGGACGATGTATAGGACGGCGGAGGACTTCGGGCCGCAGTCATGCCGGGGTGGATATCTGACTGAGCACTATGTATCGAGGATGATATTTGGGCGTCGGACATGTGTGCCAGGAATTTCAAAAGCAGAGATTCGGTCTCTTGAAGCCGATGCTCGAGAGCTTCGATGTAGCCTTTGGCGGGGCCTCTGTCTGGAATGTTAAGCATGTCAAATAGTTGAGGGAAACAATGCGTCGGCGTACCGTTTCAGTTGTTCGGGCCAATCGCAACGCCGGTTGTGTTGATGACATTGTGTGCAGATCGGTCTTAACAACCATGATAGTCAGCTCTGAGATGTCTATTTTTCACGTTCGAACAAGGTCTTTCGGGTGGGAGCGAGTGGAAGCTGCTCACTTATTTCCATTGCACTGCGGATTGCGGGGTTCACGTTAGCATCGCATCTTGCGATAAGAACCTAACTTGGTTGATAGCAAATAATGGGTGGAGCTTACCTTCTGCTTCCTGAACCGGCAGGAATTGCATGCCACGGTGATCCGAGAGACTTTGGTCGCTTTGCTAGGGGCCATTTCTTCAGGCAGAAGTTATTGCACCAATACAGATGAAGATCCTGGGAAAGTTGAGACTGCAGGCCAAAGTCGCACGCCTGTGGGAATCGGGGAAGTTCGACCTTTCTTGCCCCATATTATTATCGCATGGAGGAAGTCGCAAAACCCCCGATTCGGCTAAGTGCGGGAAGCAGTGGAGAAGTCGCCGGCTGAACGGTTAGCCGACAACTGCTTTTCCTGCCCTGTTGGGAAGCCCCGGCAATGCTGCATGGATCAACGATCATCCTCCTGGATTTTGTATTCCTGGTAAATGATGTCGTCGTTATCAGATCTGAAGCAATGTGAGTGGTCTTTGATTCTTGGAACACCTGTGATGGCTTTCGATGATTGTTTTCGAGAAAAGCAACATCTACAGCTGTGGCCATGGAATTTGAACCAGCAGAGTACGGTAGGTTATACGTACCATTGCCGCAGGCATGGATAAGATAACGCAGAATGACTTCAACAATACTGTACCAGTGGGTCCTTCATTTCATATGTTGGGCTCGATTCGAGATTTAGGTATAGCTTTCATTAGATGGAGAGACCTATCAAGAAAGTCTCGGATGCAGTCCGAGTGGATATAGATCGCCAAAATTAGAATGGATGAACTTTCAGGCAGAACATATGCAAAGTGCGAAGTATAAAGATTCGACAAAGAATGAGGGTGTATTGCATGCTAGCAACTAATGAAACAATATTTGACTCTGTTCAGGGAAACGATTTCTTCCTTAACAAAATGGCCGAAATGACTTCATACCTGATTGCATCTATTCCCGGTGACGGAGTTGGCTTGGAAGTGGTGAAAGCGACCATTGAAGTAGTCAGCAAACTCGCGCAAGCCCTCGGTACCTTTAATATCGAATTTGAGCACATCCCGTGGGGAACAGACTACTACAAGCAACACGGTCGATATGTGTCCGAAGATGCCTTAGACATCCTGCGGAAATTTGACGCAGGGTTGTTCGGCTCAGTGGGACATCCAGGTAATTGGACCCGTTCCCTGTTGACGGCGCCCCAACGGCTGCCAGATTTGTGCAGTAGAGCTAACAGAAGTCCCCTAGATGTCCCTGATCATGTCTCCCTTTGGGGCCTCCTCTTAGCCATCCGCGGACCCTTACAACTCTATGCCAACGTACGTCCCGTACGCACGTTTCCGGGTACCAAGTCCCCTCTGAACACTGCAGCCGAGGGAATCGATTGGATGCTTGTGCGAGAGAACTCAGAAGGTGAATACTGTGGGCAAGGCGGAATCAGTCATATCGATCAGCCATGGGAAACTGCGACAGAGGTGGCGATCTTCACTCGAGTCGGCATCGAGAGAATCATGCGTTTTGCCTTCAAGACCGCACGCTCGAGGCCACGCCGTCATCTCACGGTGGTGACCAAGAGCAACGCCATGCGATATGGCATGGTCCTCTGGGACAAAATCGCAGAGGAAGTGTCCAAAGACTTCCCCGACGTGACTTGGGACAAGATGTTGGTGGATGCCATGACTATCCGTATGGTGAACAAGCCGGAGTCACTGGACACTATCGTGGGCACCAACTTGCACATGGACATTTTGTCTGACCTCGCTGCTGGCTTAGCAGGGTCAATTGGTGTGGCTCCCTCGGCAAACCTCGACCCTACTCGGAAGAATCCTTCCATCTTTGAGCCGGTACATGGCAGTGCCTTCGATATCATGGGCAAGGGCATCGCCAATCCGGTGGCTACTTTCTGGTCTGCTGCCGAGATGCTGCAATGGCTGGGCGAAAAGGAAGCGGCGAAGAAGTTGATGGAATGCGTTGAGAAGGTGTGCAGAGCTGGTGTCTTGACTGCTGATCTTGGAGGCACGGCCACCACTCAAGACGTGGTCGATGCAGTTAAGAGGGAGATTGAACACTTGAAGACGGATTAGCTTCATATCTAGTAGCTTGTTAGAACCAAATACAAAATACGGTATACATCACTATTGTCTAAGATCTTTTGTTGTATAGTAAGTTGTATACTCCGCGTGGTAGTTAGGCGTCAAGGCGGGATCTGACTAAGCAGGTCGGCTTTTCCGCTCCGGCCGATCTCCGATGGACCGACAGTCGCATCAATTTCGATTCTCAGAGTCCTGATTTCCTTCGAATCCGGATTGAACTCATCACTAGGACGGGCATCATGCTCCTGTCAAGATGCAGTTCCCAGTACCCGCGTCTGGTTCGACGGAAATCGGATCCTTGACTGCACACTCGCTGGAAGAAAGTGAGTTTGTCGGCAGCTCCAGCGGCGTTTACTTCATCAAGACAGTCCGACGGGCTTTTTCCCACAGTCTGGACCCATTGGATGCTTCGTCTTCTAGCCAGGGGTTTCCTCCTCCGGAAAATACTCTAGTAGGCAGTGGGGGCTTGCCATCTGCCCGAAGATCAACGTCATTGCCTGCCGCAACACCTCCAACCGTTCAAGGGCATGGCCATGCCTCGCGACAATGGAGATATGACCCCACGGTGGCAGCAATCCTGGGGAAGTTCCCACCGCTGGAAATAGCCCGGGAGCTGATGATGATGTACTTCAAAGTCTGGCATCCACTGTTTCCGTTTTTGCACGGTCCGTCATTCTTGAACGCCATGGAAGCGTTATGCTCCGAACGACATCAGTCGGCCACCGAGGCTTTGCCTTTGGAAGAGCATCGAAGTGCTTGCTGGACGACCATCTTCCAATGTGTCTTCAATCTGGCCAGTGTACTTCGTCCAGAGATCGATTTCCCTCGTGAATCGCGCATCGAGTCATCTAACAACATGCACGCTTTACTTGGAACCTTATCTTGCAGACATGATATCCTCTCTGTGCAGGCGCTGCTCGCCTCGCAACTATATCTCGTAGCTAAGATGTCACTTCGGACAGCCTCCACCGTCGGTGGCTGTATGCTTCGATCTATACTGCATGCGGGCCTACATCGTTGTCCATATCGCTACAAGGAACTTACCTCTCATGATCGGCAGCTACGCAAGCGGATTTTCTGGTCTGCATACGCCATCGATCGATACTTGAGCCAAACGCTTGGTCTGCCTCTTGGAATCCAAGACTCCGACATTGACGTTTGCCCGCCTTTGGCCTCCGAAATCCATGTCCCAGGTTCTTATGAGAGGATCAATGCCATCAGACGTGCCGTTACCCCCAGCACTGCAGGATCCTCGCCCATCTCTACAGAAGACCGATTGCGCAGGCTCGAAAGGTCAGCGTATGGCCAACAGCCACTGTCCGCAACACCGAGACATCCCGCCGAAGACAACGAGCAGCACCGGCGAGAGCTCGTGTTCGCAAGTTACGTCGAGTCCGGGAAACTGACAGGGCGAGCGATCGAGTTGTTCCACAAGTCCATCCTTGTCCGCTCCGTCCCTCACAGCTCGGTGCTCTTCCTCATCACCGACGTCCACAAGTGGTGGAATAGTCTATCGATCGAGTCTCTCCAGCAAGGAGGGGCCCATCAAGCTGCCGCAATACCACCAATAGCCTCCCCCGAGGACCCCAACCCAGCAGCAACAGTCACGACAAACCCCAACGCCCCGTTCAACTTCGCCCCCTTCTTCACCGTCCTCTACCAACACCTCATCCTCCTCATCAACCGTCCCTCCCTCTCCCTCAACCCGTCCAGCCCGGAATTCTGCTCTGGCCTCCAAACCTGCATCGGCGCCGCCCGCGAGATCCTCGCAGCCTTGACCACCCAGCAAGAAAGCGGACAGGCGTTCTTCTGGCCCGGGTTCCTATCGGCGGCATGGATGTCCGGTCTCGTGCTCGCATTTGCATGTCAACTCCGCCAATACGTGTTGTCCAAAGGATCCCAGTATGTGTCTCATCTTAACCCCTCCAATTCACCGTCTACATTGCATTGCAAGAGCTGTTCTTCTCCTTGCAATCCTCCCTACCTCCAACCAAACCATCCCCCTCCCCCCCCTTTCTCTCCGCATCTCCACCCACATAACTAAATCCAACCAAACAGAGAAATCTTCAAATGCCTCATCATCCTAGAAACCATGGCCCACCAATGGGAAACCGCCAAACAATGCCACAAATCCCTCTCCCTTCTCTCCCGCTACATCCAGCACCACCACCAGAACACCACAGATTCTACCGCACGACGACCCTCAACCGCCACACCACCCATCACGCGCAAACGTAACTTGAATGACGACTTGCAGCAAACATCAGACCATTCAGCACCCAGCGGTCGCCATTGCAGACCTCCTCCACCACCACCACCTCCTCCTCCTCCTCCTTCTGGTGCAGCAGCAGCAGCAAGCACCAATCCACCATCAAACAACCACCTGTCTGCTCGCGATCCCATCACGGCCACCACCAATCCAACCAACACCACGAATAACATTCATAATGATAACGACGAGGGAGATGCCCGACATCGACATCCCACGACCACGCGCAACAGCAATGCTCAGGCGGAATTCTCGCTGGACGCTGGACTCGTGGGGAGCGACAATCACGATCGATTCACGTGGGGCGACGATGACCACCCGGGTTCAACAATGTCGGGGTTCGCGGCCATGGACGGCGAGAGTGCGGACATGATGGATCTGTTGCAGGGGAGTAACTTTGACGATCTGGCGGATATGTTTGGACAGCAGTTCCCTACCTTCTAGATTTAGGAATGGCATGCATGCCCTGTATAGTATATATACTGTACACATTGCTAGCTGGCTCCACGTGGGCAACGTGGGCAGCTAGTGAGATTTCATGATAATCAACTACAAAAGCTTGGCTGGATGTTTTACTGGAGAATCAGAAACCAGAGATCGTAAAGTCCCGTGAGGAAGTCATAAGTCTATATTACACTCGTGTCATACCATCGGATACGAGGTAGGTTGAAGTTCTGACGGGATAGGAAGAGATACAAGCACTATCGCAACCTCCTTCCCCTGTCTGGTTCATAAAATGAAAATGAAAAAGACGATTACAACCATGGCATATCCGAAGCAACTTTTATCTCCGATCCCAGTCTTGTAACAGTTCGAAGCTTTTTCCCCGCTGGAATCATGGAATCAACCTGTTTGCGCGCAACACCGTTTCCATCAATTGAATCGTGAAAAAGAAGAAGTCGACCACAAAGGATGCTCGGTCCCTTGAAGAGTGGGAAAGAAAAGAAAATTTGAATGGTATGAGAAGGATCCAATAACATGTTGCTCACTGAACAAGGCCCGACGACACCACGCACAAAGAAACTTTTAGTAACCCAGGGATATCAGACCAGGACGGAAATAGGAAAAAAAGGTAGAAGAAATAGGAGGAAGAGAGGTGAAGAGGTAGGGTAATAAAGAGGTTAAGAAAATGGGAGATAAA